TTGGGATAATCAGTTTGAAGTTGTTGGGAACATTGGGGCAGTAAAGAAACTAAGATTAAGAAACTGCCAAGAAAAATTAACTGAAACCATAAGCTTGGTCATGCTTATAAAAATAAACTTGATTATTTGTTAATGTTAACAACCAGATTGTATTTCAGTATATATTTTGAAAATGTCAACAATAAACATTTTTCAACCTGGTCCTTTCACGTCTGAAGGCTGTAACAGTGAAACTGGTTGGAGGGGAAATGTAACCTGAATAGGCTTTATAAACCATAATTTTCAAACAACCCAGATTCTGCGGTACTGATGTTTAGAAGAGAAAGCTACAGGGGAGAAACACTAGCTATTAATTTATATATATATATATATATATATATAAAATAATTGGGACAATACCATATCCGTATAACCCTAGAGGGGTTGTCTTAGAAAAATAAAATAAAACTAGGTCAGTTCAATATAGCCTAAATAGAAAGCAGCATATGGAAGTGCAGGGAGCATCAAGGCCTCTGGAATAATGAGTGCATCCTTATGGAAGACCCAGTGGAGTTAAAGAAAAATATCTTCTCCCCCTAGCAACAAAAGAAATTAAAGTAAAAGTGGCATGCCTGCATAACTAATATTGGCAATGAGCTGTCATCTGAGATGCATGAGTAATTAAAAAAAATAAATGCCTAGCCCTGGGTGCAGAAACATGCATGTTTCCCATCCCAAAAAACTCTACCATCCCTTAATCTGCTTATTACATATTTAACACTGTTTCGCACTTTACAATGCAGCCAGATATTTCTCATGGGTGTTTGTCCCCCAAACAACCCAGAGGCATGTGCCAGGAAAGTGCTCATTGATTGGTTCTCCATGAAATGTATTGACTGCCCATTGAGAGACACATGTGTTTCCCTTCACACGTGAGTGGTTCTACCACACCAAATACCAATGGAATTTCTCCTGAAAGCTGGTCTCCTGCTTCCACTCAGAGAGGTAACTAATTACATTTCCTAGCTAAATGGTATGTATGTAGTAAGGAGAGCCAATGTGTTTCTCAGATTGTTCGATAACTTAAGGAGTTGTGTTCAACAGTTAAAGGTTAACGTATCTATTGGCGCAATATTTCACGGTACTGCACATTTAGCGGAAGGCTGCAATACAAAATTGTGCTCCATGCTGTCCTCTGAGCTTTGAAAAGAATGAGGTAGGTAGGCCACAGAAAATTGTATAATAGGCCAAAAGGCACATATGCCTTTTGGTAACCAGGGTAAGTATCCAGGAACATCCACCTACTTTTGAAATTGACTCACACCATCAAAAAAAAGCCCCCCCCCCCAAGGGATCAAAGGCACAAAAGTCCACTTCTGCCATCCTCTTCTGTCTATGTCTCTGGATCCATCTCATTACATATCCAAAACTGTGATCCATGTCCTGCAAATCAAGAGTTGAGCTTGGTGTGTTGGGAAAATATCAAAACATAGTTTTGTTATTTTTAACTTATTTTTATTAAAGATTTCTTGGTTTACAAAAGTATGTGCAATGTCTATTTTTCCAAGTTACATTTTCTACAGATCAGTTTCATTTGCTGAGACATTAGTGTTACATTAGGAAGAAAAGGGGGAAAGAGGTGGAGGGGGGGCCATGGTGATTGGGGCTGTAGTCGGTTGTTGACGTTTATATTTTACTTAATGTATGTGTGGGGTTTTAAACCAGGAAGTACCGTAGTTTACTGTGTATAAGACAAAGGGTTGCCGCCGCGAGCAGATTGCCATCTTGGATTGGGCAGGTAATTGGTAGGTGCAGCAAGGACTGCTGACGATTGGCTGCTGCTGTGGCAATTGGGAGGTGATTGGCGGCTGATGGCGGCGAGCGGGCAGACGAATGTAGGCTGCTTGACGCGTGCAATTGGCAGAGTCAGTCAGGTGGCTGAGCGATTTTTGGCAATTTCCCGTCCCCTCAAAAAAATAGGGGTCGTCTTATTCACGGGGTATAAAGTACAGTAATTGGATAGAGCACAGTGGAAGCGGCATACCAAACTATGAATCATTTGGCGCTGTGTGAGAACCAATCCCTCTGCTACCATGTTTCCAAGTTCCTCTCCCCTCACCTCTCTCTCACCACCCCAAGCTTTTAAATACAAACACCCTCCTTGCAATAGGTTTTCAGAGGTTGTCTCCTAAATTTAGACACCACTCTTCCCCCACAGGAAATGCATATCCTAGGCATGAAAAAGATGTCAAATTCCCCCTCTTTTATGACATTAATAAAAAAGACAAGCTTCGTGTATGTAGAAGATGAGCATTATCAAAGGAGATTCTTTTCATTCTTTACAAGATTCTTTACAAAACCATAATTGTCGTCCAATCTAAGATGACTGTTTGAAAGCCTATCATTACTAATAAGCTTCGCTGAAATCAGAAGTTGGAGAGAAGAGGCAAATCCAAGATAAACAACGCTTGCAGGTAAAGAGCCAGTATAAAAACAAACTGATTTGCCCTCCGCCTGGTTATAAGGCCCATCAGTTTCGCCTTGCAATTTGCTTAGCTATTAACAATACACTACTCAATTGCCCACTCATATTCAGGTGGTGGTCATGTTTGTCACGGCTAAAAATTGGCCGCCGTTTCTTTAATGCTAAAAGAACTAAGTCAGCATGAGTCAGCGACCTACAATGACTCATGCAACCTTTCACCTAATTGTACCTGTATATATAGAGTGGTCATTGTTGGTGTAGTGGTGGGTTGGTCAGAGAAAGCTGGTAGTGTTGATGTGTGTACAGTTGGTTGTTCGTTTTGCAGATGAAGACTTTTAAGAATAAAAGCAGAAAATACTCTGCAAAGACGCTCTTCTCGTGGACTCTTTTAGACCGACAAGGGTCCGAGGACCAGGCTGAGGAGACAAAGGAAGTCAGGACTTTTTCCTTTTCCAACACTGTTTGTATTTGAAGCTTCTTCAGCACTTTATGCTTTCAGTATCTTACACATAAAAACAGTATCTAAAGATGCATGTAGACAGCACTCTTGTTGAATTTCCATTCAGCTGCACACATATTAACCTTTGCTAACCTCTCAGAACGTTGTGGTTGGCTTATTTTTGTAAAAAGTTGAGTCTGAGCTGTACTTCCACATACTCATATTTGTAATGCAGCGTGCCAAAAATAGACCTTTGAAACAGGAATGAGGTAGCTTCTGCTAAAATACCGCACACCACTCCACTCTCCACAGCAATGTGAGATTCCAGGGGTTGCAAGATGTGCTTTGCCCAGGGTCCGTTTTCTTTTGGACACAGCATAGACTGTGGTGTCTTCATGATATATGGTTTATTTACACATATCTACAACCTGAGTCTAGATGGAGAGGTTCTGCACCATCACTTTCCACGAGGTTTCTGTTCTTCTCGTGCCTAAAAGCCATGTATCTCTGTGTCCCCAGCTTCCTTCTGTCGGCTCACACCACACTGTTCCTAAGCTTTCATCGTCTCTGCGTTTTCGAACTAAAGTGGCGTGTAACAAGACTTTAGCTGGCACTACTCAGAGGTCCACACAGACTGAGCGAAAGGCTGAAGAGAATCCCAGGTCAGTGATCTCATACCATCCATCTGCTCCTGAAGAGCAGTGATGTGGTGGAGCATAAGCATGTCTAATCAGGCATCTAATGAACCCTTTTATTTGGGTAAACTCAGATGGTAACTGACCCAACATAATGTGGTGAACTTCATGGGTAATCAGGGACATGAGCCCAAGTCTTCTGAAAGACCAGCCAGCGCAACATCCTTTGCCAACTCCATTCTTTGACTACCCATGTCCTTGCTGCTCTTTAGAGAACAATGCATCTGGCCTGGGTATGGGGGTTGTCATAATCAGATCCGGCACTTCAAAATTTACCACTGCCGAGGAGACCTCTATTAGCTTCAGAGGGTTTGGCCGTTTCATACCTTTTTATTTTCATCATTTTAAATTGTATACCGCTTGGATACACCTTGGAAGAAAGGTAGGATGTAAACACAATTTAAAAAATTATATATTTGAATAAAGAGATGTAGCAAGAATGGAAAAAATCAGTAGCACCTGTATGAGAATGTGCAAGCAATACAGGTAAGCACACAGGAAATCTGGGTCCTACCCCCCCAAATGTGTATTTTAGGTATTTTTGCAACATATTCCTCTAACGAATACAAATTTTGTCTCTCAAACACTTTAAAACCCCATATATAGAATAAAAGAGCACGTAGCTGTCTATAAACATAATTATGGATTTTTAAAAAAACACTTCACCGGAGTCCAGATCCCTTTAAACTTTGCATTTTTATTACAATCTGCCCACTCCTCCAGGAAACAAACAGTGAACCTTTGTGACTTTTCTTTCATGGAAAAAAAGTTAAGTGACCCAGAGGAGGTGCTATGTTATATCAATGCCAAAAGAGGAAAAAACCAGGTTTAAAACAAAAGGGCATCCAAAACTGGGGAAGGAGAAGGGGGAAGGAATACAAGTATATTAGAAAAAGATACAAGTTAAAAAAATCTAATTTCTGCTACTCTTTCAACAATTTTCACAGCCAAAGGAGGAATTCAATACAAAAATGCATTTACAAGGTCATCTTCTGGAATAAAATCCACTTTATAAAGACACTTCATGATGTGCATTTTAGAGTTCTTATCATTCTGACAGTACTTGTTGTAAGGGGGAAATATAATTTGTTCTCTTTTCACTATTCATGGAAAGTAATTAAAACACTTAATACTGTGGCTTCAATACCATTTCACCGAAGATACCAGCTGAAAGGATTTCATGTTCAGTGAAGAACTATATGCCTTGAAACCATTCCTATGAAATATGTGTGTTTCAGACGGAAACAGCAAATTTCACATCTGAGTAAAAGGGGAGAAAAAGAGCATGCATGAAGAAACTGAATAGTGGAAGTCCGCCAGAGTCACATTTCCAGAAATGTGTACTAAAACTGCCCTAGTGCATTGGTTTAAATCTAGTCTAATCAATTATGTGATCCTGCTACTATGAATGACTCGAGAGATTTATGGTGTCGAAAGGGAAGAGTTTACAAGCAAACGGAAGAGGCCATAGGCCCAAGTTTGCATTTGAGGTTCCTAATACCCACAAGCCCTGCTTTCCTTCCTTCCTATGTACTTTGCTGCTCAAGCATCTATAGCACCAGACAGATAGAAAGTAGCTGCAACAGTGATAATCTCTCTCCAGTGAACAATCACATTGTTTAGTAGGTATGGAAGAAGCAGACCTGATGTCCCTGGAAAGAACTATCAACAGACTCATTCTGGCTGCTAGGCTGTAAGATGAGAGAGAATAAGTGTTCTCAAAGTGCCTGCAGGCTATGCTTGGAAATTCAAGCAATAGCTCGTAACATTTAAGAACATCTGTACTGCATAAATGTTCCTGCATTAAGTAAAACGTATTGCCAAGTGACAATATTCATGCTATAGATCCCAGCATACCCGGAAGAGTTCTATAACCTGACCATCGTATGAAAGACTCCTGCTAGAAGCTCGCATTGGCAGCTCTGTTGGGGTTGGGGGAGAGAACTCTTGTTTCAGAGGGGCAAGAAAACACCATTATTATTTTTTTACATTTTCTTTTCAGATTTTATTTGAAATCTAATTCAAGTTGTCAAAGCTACAAAAAAGGGGGGGAGGGGGGAAAACAATTGTGTGTGGGTGGGGTTTTTTCCTAACTCACAACATTCTAAAACAAAATATCACTACTGCCAGCAGATCAGTTACACACATTTCAGATGAAGTTTCTAAACACAAAATCTCATTCTGGGAAGTAGCCACAATGAAGGTATTTTGTACAATATAAAACAATGACAGGTCTACCGATGCAGTTACTCATGAGTATACACGTGCATTCACAAAAAAAAAATTAGGAATGCTTTCTTTGTTTTGTGTTGTTTTTTTTAAACAGACTCTTCAGGCACAAAAACAAAACCGCATTTCCAGTAAGTGACAGCATCATAAAAATTAAGAGTTTGTCAGTGTTTGCTCTTCTTCGACTTCTTGTGGGATCTGTGTGGAGAGCGGGATTGAGATCTGGATTTTTTTCCTGACTTTTTAGGTGACCTGGATCGCGACCTCCTTGATCTTTTGGGTGTCCTTGAGCCAGACGGCGACCTAAAAATAAATTGTATTAATGTCAATAGATTGTTTATTTGGCTTCTGCCAGCCAAGATCAACCCCATTCTTAGAGTAGTTCAGAACCATGCTGGATCTGATGCACTCTTCCCCAAACAGATTAATTCTATCCTGTAACATGTATGTATAAAAGTGGACAAGAAAATACTACCTGTACCTTTTTACTGCATATGTGTCACCCAAGAATTTTGTAACTCCACAATATTACACAAAGACAACTGTTTCTATTTATTTATTCAAAGGATGATTCCGGGTTCAGACAACAGGCCAAGCCAAATGATGGCTTAGCTGCTGAGTCACACTGAACAAAAATGGATTTCCAGAAATGAACAGCGTTACCTTTTAGCTTTTTTACTGGCATCTCTGGGAGAATCCTTGTGAGATGACCTGGAGCGTGAGCTTTCTTTGTGGGATCTTTCAGATCGTTCTGAGCGTTCCGATTTTGGCGACGGTGATTTTGCTCGCCTGCTTCCACAGCTGCGGGACGGGCTGGGTGACGTGCTGTGTCGCCTTTTCCTTTTTTTAAAAAAAAAAGAAATTATGAGCACCTACAAAGATACCCATCACCTCACCAAATATACTAAAGCAGTTTGACATTGCTTTCAGAACATTAAATGCATAAATATTCAAAATCTCTTTATGCACATTTCCAGATCAATAGGAGTTACAGCGGCAATCAGGCTGCCCATCAAAACTGCATGGTTAAATAAAACTTGGGACTTAATTATACTGCCTTAAAAAAACACAACTGCAACTGATTGTCCGAAAACCTATGGTAAAATTTATTTCAGATGCTTATCAGTAACGATTAATATTTGAATTAATCAGCAGTGACTACAAGCCCTGCTGGGATTGAATACACTCCAGTTCCCAGTACTGAATGGCATTGTATTCAAGATTTGCTTTTGGCAGGGATAAGCTTTACTCTAGTGTTCCTGATTGGCAACTCGAAGGTGTAGCTAATCCAGCAGGGTCTGAAGTCTGTGCCAAACAGCATTTAAAGCCTTCCTGATTATTTCTTTGCAGCCACGCCTTTAGCTGCCCTACACCTGACATCATACAGGTTGTGTGCATGGCTTGTGGGAAAACAACCTTGCAGGTTAAATTAGGCCACCTGCTGGGCCAAAATAGGCCCACAGCCTACTGATTCCCCACCAATGTTTTAAGCTATAGCCTTGTTCTTCAGATATTGTAACGTGTGCACCCTTGTTTGCTGTTTTATCCTGACATGCTTAACATTTAAAATAGCAACAATTGCTTTAAATGTTCCTTTTAAAATGGCTGTACATATTTATCGTCACTGTTTTCAGTTGACTGGATGATAATTTTCTTCTAAATGCCAAGATCCTTGATTGTGAAATTGCAGGGTAAACAATGGCAAGGTTGCAAAAGCAATACTATCTTCACACACGCACACACAAATGATAACTCACATCCCACTGAAAGTATTATTTTCAAATTCAGACACTCAAATTTAGGTGACCAGAAAAACAATTCAAAAACAGAGTGGCCCCCAAAGTTTCTGCTCTGCTGGAGCAAGAGACTTCTGCTTGCGCAATGTACCTTTCCTTCCTTTCCCCTGTAGCCCACCCCCTCAAAATTGGCTCTGAAGGGTTGGAGGAGCCCCTGGACCTAATTTTGGGGGCATGCAGGCGGAGAAGAAGGGAAAAACTCATTGCACAGGCTGCATTCTATCTAGTCTTCTTAAATTATATACCTGTCTTTTCTTGTTGGTGTACATTCTTCTTTCTCTTTCTTCTCTTTTGATCTGGATTCAGATTTCTCTTTGTCCTTCTTGTCTCTTTCCCTTTCCCTCTCCAGCTCCTTTTCCTTTTCCTAGATTAAAAGTAATTGGGCACTTCAGAGAATTCAGAATTTATCATACAGCAAGATGTATATGTTAATTCATTTTACGCCCTACAAAACAGAGCCAAAGCTTGACATTGAGGGAACAAGAAACAGTCTAAAGCAGCTTCCTATGACTCCACATTAGATCACTGATCCATTTAGCTGAATGCTGTCTATCTACCCTGACTGGCAATGATTCACCTGTGTTTCAGAGAAATGCTATTCCCGGCGCTACCTAGATATATGAGAACAAACCTGGGATCTTCTGTATATGCTCTACTACTAACCAACAGTCGTTGCTGTACAAACATTTACAAGAACAAAATCAAGTAGCCACTTTTAAAACAAGTTCGGAAACATCTTTTTCTTCTTAATCGCATTCTTTTGGATTCTCAAACAACTTTAGCTCAAAGCTACAAAACCTTCGGCACTTAACTTCTAAAAAAATGTATCGAGCTAAATGTGCCCGTTATATGTGGCAATGTAATCATTAAGCGTGGCAACCTTAAAATTGAGGTTTTGATGCTAAATCGCTTTAAAAATAGATACAGTAACAACACATATCATGAAGTTATTGCAGGGCAGTAAATTCCAAGCTATTTATTATTTTGTCTAGTTTACACAAGCCTATCACTTTAATATGCTTAAAAAGGTAATAAAGCCTTGTGTCAGTTTCTGTATGCTCATATTCAATTTTAAATGCAGGCCTACCACAAAGCACCTATCACCCACAGAAATGACTTTAGATATCATGCACTTATACAGATCAAATAATCTATCTGGATAAGTCTAAAACACTAAACAGGCAAACTATTAACTGCTCCAAAACTATTCTTATTTAAGATTGCCAAGTGTAACGTGAGGCCAGTACCATTCAATGGGTTGGATCCAGACTGCAAGTGGATTTGAGCCTGAGATATGCTGCTGCTTGTGCATATCATGCTAAGCAGTAACTTAGAATTATACTCAAAACAGGTTCCAGTAATAGAAATCTGTATCTAAACTAAATTAAAAAATCCAGAACAGTAGCACTACTTACCCTCTGGAGCAGTTTGTCACGGTAGTGTTCGACCTGTTCTGAAAAACTCTGGCCTGGCTTCTTGGGTCTTTTTCCAGATTCCAACTCATCTTGAAACTTCATTACCTTCAGCTGTGAAAATACACACGCAACTAGAGTTACTTGCAAGTTTGGCAAAGTTACAACATACACATTTGGATTAGGCTTTTTATTTACTTCGTTTTAGCCCTAGGGTACATGGTTTAGATACATTCACATAAATTTCTCCTCAGTGGCGAGTTCTCAAAACAATTAATTGGTGCAATTACGATAGTAAAATACATGTAAAGCTGGCATGTATTTTAATATGTACCTTTAGTTTATAATGAAATTTAAACTGACTTTATGTTTTGATCCTTTAAAGCCTTGACCATTTTAATGTATATTTTATATTCTTTGTACATCACTTAGAAGTTTTATTTATCATTAAGCAGTATACAAATTCTGTTTAATAAATAATAAAATCCCACCACACGCCTCAGATTATCAGCGAGGCTGAAAGACTCTGGAGTTGGTCTCTTCATCAGGTTCGATAAAAGGAAAATTATGACTTGGCATTACATGAATAAGCCTTGGGTTTGTACACTCTCCTCCACAGTCATGACAAGATCTGAAATTCTTGCTTTTATTTAACCAATTGCAGTTTAGCATTATCCCGGGACAAACTGCTGTTAGCTTTTACCACTGAAACAAGCCAAATTAGGAACACAGGAAGCGACCTTATATCAAGTCAGCCCACTGGTCATCTAACTTAGTACTGTCTACACTGGCAGGTAGTGGGTCTCATTTAAGATTATGCCTGAACCCTAAACCACAGGTAAACCTGAACTGTGATTAATTGAAAGCAACCACACAGGAGGAGAAAAAAAGAAAGGGGCTCATTCACATAACGCTTAACAATGGTTAAGCATTACATCTCAACACAACTGCTAAATCTCAAAAAATGAAAGGAAAATTAATGCAGAGTTCCTCGCTCTCAAGTAGGAATGCAGCTTAAAACCTTAATGGAGATCATACAATAAATTTAGAGATTATTATACCCCAATGTATTGACTTTCATTGGGCATTACTATTCCTAATATTTGAGATCATATTTAGAAAAGGGATCCTTAAAATAAGCATCCATGAATAAGAATCCATTAATCCTAAAGGACCAATCTCATTTTGCAATACAGTTATACTCTTCTCACCAGCAGAGGGCACCCTAGACTTTCCAAGTAGTTATGACTAGAATACACTTTTACCCAACAGTTCTTCCTACATTCTAGGAATGCAATAAGTGCTTTAGAAATTCAAAAATAAAAGCACCACTCTCTTCTAACAATTGAGAAGAGATCAAATATCATCCTTAAATCAAGACTGAATAAAGTGCATAGGCTCCAATAATTATGCAAAATAAGTAGCTTAGAAATATACTTGCTCAGTACATTATGGGCTTCAAAGTTCAAAATGTTCAAGGCTTCTCATGTGTATGGCTCAATTGTTGCCTCTTCTGCCCTCCCCTATTTATTTCCCAACACTTGCTATGATTGAATAATGCCCTAATTATGTCCACTGAACTGTGTAATAGTTTTTTGCTTGTGCAATTTAACTTTTTCCTCTTCTCCCATCACATTCCCCCAAAATTTGCCCAGGAGGGTCCTCCAGTTTGTACCTATGTTTCCCTTATGTTACATCTCTCAATAATAAAACTATTAAGACCCAGTGCCAGCCTCACATACATAGTACAAATACAAGTAATTCTTAAATATGATAAAATTTGATTAGCACTCCTGAAATCCAAGTGAAATATTTGAAAACAGGGAAACTGATTATTTTTATGCTTGATCAATTATGTCAGAGTATAAAAATAAATTTTATCCATGTTTTTCTCACACACCTCAATTTCTCTGAGTTTGGCACGCTTTTCCTCACTCATTTCTGAGTATTTGCTTGAAGATTTTGAATCTGACATTTCTTCTCTGATTGGATTGGAGTACATGTGATGCTCCTCAGATTTAGAACTCTGGGTGTCCTCTTCATCTTCACTTTCTTCCTCTTGGCTTTTTAAAAAAATGGAAGTACAGGAATTAATTCTCTCTGGGGGAAATCTGCTGTTTATCATTTTCCAACAGAGCATTTTGTCATTACATAAAGTCAAGCACAGATACATGTGCCAGCATACTTTGCTTCTATTTTTGTTCTGTAACATCCTCTTACTATTATTATACAATATCCTTTTTATTTAAAATACTAGGCGTGGACTGCAAAGAAAAATTACTGAGGAGAAGAACAGCACAGGGAAAACGGGGAGGATGGGTTATATCTGTTTACGCTTCCTTTCAACCCTTCATTCACGCTTTCACAAGCAGAAGCAGCCTTCCATATAAATGTCACTTGCTTGACCAGGAACAGGAAATATAACACAGGTATAATAGAGCACAATGAAGTGTGGCTGCAGTATATCATTGCTGGATTGGTTTCAAAGTAACTATGGGAGGGGATACACATCTCAGCGTGAAACCAAAGCAGTGCAAATGTGCATCTGATTTCCCCGTTACTGACCCAGCAATGAATCAACAGTGACTGATCCAACAATGCATGGAGTGCTTCATTGATGAGGATGCCCAGATCTATGGAAAGCCAGTGCAGCACCTCTCTTTGAGCCAGGATGTGTCTGGATTCAACAAGAAGACCATGTGCCCCAATTTGGCTCCATGCATCCAACTACTGAGAGAGTGCCGCTTCAGCTCCCTCTGAGCCAGTTTGGGGCATCATTTGGGCCCAATCTGACCCCAAATCCAAATAGGGGCCTCACATAGCCCTATGTATATGTAGGGTTTAAAACCTTAATTAAACATGCAGCCAGCAGCCATGGGAGGGAGGAGGGCAGGCAAGAGTCTTTGCTTGCATCTACTTCTGCCCCAACCCAACCATATATTTAATTAGGGTTTAAAACCCATTCCTTTTGTCCTCCCCTTTGTTGAACCCAACCCGGGGCTGCCTCAACCCACTTCAGGCAAATCTCAGATGGACCTGAATCAGTCAGATTCAGTTTGGGATAGAAGCCACATATCTTTTTTTAATGTTTTCCCATAAAACCTGAAGGATCTCCCACATATCTAGGAATCCACTCTTGCCTTTTCTCTAGGCTGTTTTGGCACCCACATCATTTATATCTGAGATACTAATGGAGAAGAGATTTTACCATTACTTTCTAAAATAACTCCACAGAGCCTAACTCACATGGGGCATTGAACAGATTTTCACTGGGCGTGGAAGCAGGAATAGACAGCTCTTTGGTCTAATATGCTACCAGAGTCCAGTAATTAAAGGAAACATGTGCATTAATGGATGAGGTTACAACTTTTGTATTTATCCATGGGAGGCTTATCTCTTCCCTAATATGAGACTCCAGAAGCATAGACATTTCACACCCCCATAGCATGTTTGAAATGATCCTTGTTATTGTGTAATATGTTTAGGATCAGAGTGGCCATGGGAAACGGGGGAGAAAAGACATACAGAACACCTTAATTCTTACTTCTGATTTTCTTCCTCTTCAGATTCCTCATGCTGGTCAAAAAGCTCCCATTTAGATGTTGTTACCGCTAGTAAGGGGGGGGAATGCAAAAACATTGGCCAGTGTTACCTTCAAGTTTCAAGTTTATTGCGGCCAAAGCCAGTGACACTAAACATCCCAAGATCAGACAACAAGAAATCAGCAACAACTTCAGAAAAGAAAAAAGGTTACACAAGGGAACTTCGCAGTGTGCCATTCGACAGAAGAGATTTACGTTTCTTAATTACTAAAGTGCAAAATTTAGCCACCTCATATGATACTGAGCTTGAGGAATCTTCCAGGAGGTATTTTCGAAGAATTTCAGGGAGGATTCCAAATAATATTGAAGGGGTATAAATTTTGATAGAAGCGGTAAAATAAGTTGAGCTCGTTCTTCACTATAGAATTCGCAAGATAGAAGAATGTGTGTGACAGATTCTACCTTATTAGACATACAAGGGCAGAGACGCGCATGCATTGGAACCCGCGTGAATTTGCGGTACAGCACTGCTGTGGGCTTTGTCTCAACGCGGGCTCTTGAGAAAGCCCATCTATAGGCTTCGCTAGTGATGTTGGTTAAGTAAGGGGCAGCTGTAAAGTTAGGCCAAGCTTTTAAACATCTATACGTCTCTGGGAGTAGGGCGCCTTCTTGTTGTAATTCGATATCATAAAGTCTCCGAGTAATAGTAGCTTTTGCCTTGTTCAGAGTTCCAATAAAAATATTTTCAGGGTTTAGGCCAATTTGTTTGATCTTGTTAGTTATTTGCATAAGCCAAGGAGGATAGGGAACTGCGGCCAGGAAGCAAGGTAATAGACCCTTAGGATTGTAATGGATTTTCAACCAGAGGGATATTGCTTGTTCCCAGACTTTTAATTCCACTCTGGGCAGTCCTGCCTCTTGCCTTAAGACTGCATTAGGTGTACACTTAGGGGTAGCAAATAATGATCTTAAGAATTTAGATTGTACTGTTTCAAGGGTCTTAAGGTTGGCAGAGGGGCTAATTTGAGAGCCATATAGAAGTTGGGCTAAAGATTTTGCCTGAAAGACTGTTAGGGCCATCGGGAGGAAGCCAGCTCCTTTCCTTCTGAATAATCTAAGGATAGCATTTGCACTTGGCCAGTGTTACATAAAATTATATAAATCTTATTTTTTAAAAAGGTATTTGTAGCTATGCTGCATAGCAGTTAAATTCTAACTTTTTTATTTAATGGCACTGTTCCAGAATAAGAGCAGCACTTGTGATGTCTGCTAGTGAATTTAAAGTATTGCTTCATTAATATTTAGCAAGAAATGCTGAACTAAAACCCATTTAACTGAAATGTACGTAACGAAAGTGGCAGAAGCTAGATATGACACTAACCTTGAGCTTCAAGTGCAGCTTCATCTACTGCTTCCCACTTTGAAGGGGCAACTTTGAAAATTGGCTCATTTTTTTTAGACTCTTCAGAAGCATCCACTGTTGAATAAAAGATTATAGCAATGACCAACATTCCAAAGTAGTCCAGCTTAGTATGCTCTCTCTTATATCAGGCACTTGAAAAAGATAAGCTATTTTAAAAGGTGCAGGCTTCAGCATACGTTGCTGCAAGTAAAAGATTACGTGCAGAGCAAGTCTCTGCATGTTTACTCAGAAGCATCCCACCAATGGGATCTATGACCTTGTGCTTTTAGAATGGCAGACCTGAATATTCAGGAAGGGCCCATAACGCAATCTTCTAAGGCCCATGCCATTTTAAAGTAAAGGCAGAGGATTCACTTCACATAAAAGCCTACTGCATATGGAAACTTGTATGTCAGGGAGAAGACCAAGACATAGACAGAGATCATAATTCTGGGAGACATGCACTCAAGCCCCTCTAAATTCCAGAATCTGAGCACAAATTATGAGAGGCCTGATCTAAAGCTCTGTGGGATCTAGGAACATTTGAGCTATCCTGTGCAAAGGAGTCGCTGTAGTCTTTCTGCTATGTTATCATTTTGCACTGGAGCTATCAATTTTAGGAGGCATTCAAGATAAACCTGTAATAAAAGGGTTTCTGCCCCAAGTTGATTTATAGCCTAACAAGGTAATGAAAATACAGATCTTGCTTATATATGATTGAACATGGACAGAATAGTAATAACCAACAGACCTCACATCTTCCATTTTTCTACTATTATTCTATGGAAGCCAAATATCTAATAAAAACACCTGTTCTCAAATCTCAGCAACACTGCATTTTAAACGCCGAAGTACCAGAAAAAATGGGGCCTCAATTAAACGTGCGTTTTGCAGTGAGAAAGTGCAGGCTTCTAAGTACACTAAATCTAGTATTCCTTACAGGGAACACCATCAAGGTCATCATCAAGCGTCTTAATAGGGACTCCATCAAGATCATCAATTGGAGCAACATCAATAGGAATTCCATCCACATCTTCTAGAGGAGCACCATCAAGCTCTTCCTCAATGGGAGCTCCATCGAGATCATCGGGTACTTCCTGTAAACCAAATGTAAGTTTTATATGCACAGTGTTTTCCTCAAGTTGTTACAGCTTCATTTGATACATTTTATGCATTTAGTTCACAAAAATGTGCAGAGCTATTAGGTTCACCTCCTATTATGGGGCAATTCACAAATCCAGCACTTTTCCTTGTGGGCTGAAGTGTGTGCACCCGATATACAATGTGACATGGGCATCTGCACAATATGTCTGATTCCCCCAGTCTTTCAACCTGCGCATACTGTTTTCCACATCTGGGTGCTACTAGCACCACTAGTATGCTAGCATCACAGTTTGTTGTACAACTGAACACATAGGAAGTTTCTGGATTTACTTGACACATTAAAGACCTCTGTCAAGTATGCAAAGCAGTTTACCATTCACACAATACATGAAGATGCCAGAAGTAAGACCCTGGTTAGAGATATAATACATTTTCCTCAGGGTCCATAAATGTAGTAGATGCACAATTTCTTGGGGGGAGGGGGGGAGGGGACACCAATGTTTGTGTTTAATAATATAAAAGAGTTCAGCACATGCAAACACTTTCCAAGTTTCCCTTCAGAAACCAGGTAATAGATAGCGGAGTTCCCATATTCATGTAGTTCATTTATTGTTTACACTGCAGTAAGTCTATATACAAAAGATGTAATCTCTCCTGCTTACTTTCTTGAATTACTTCACAAAAGACATCTGGCGTGAGTGGTACATATTTATGGTTTGGATAACCCAATAATTTTGGCCTGGCCTGCACTTCACATGAAATAGTACTTAAAATAAACTATGCTTTACACATGCTGCTGAAACTATGGGCATTTTGCTCCTTCCTCACTGCTACTGTACAGGCGAAGAGACAAACTGTACTGTGACTTCTTGTCAAACTTAGGCTCATTTGCTTCTCTCCAAACAAACCATGAGCCGTAAGACAAGAACAACTCTCTGTGCGAACCAGGCCCTAAGTTGTTTGTATCTTCTGCTCTAATTACAAAACCAACCAACTCTCAACAACTATACGTTTCTCAAAACTGCTTCTCCTTGCACCTGTGAGGAATTAGCCACAGGTTAGAAATTCTTGGCTCTAACAACTTTTTAGACACATTCCAGCTTCTTGAGACAAATGCCCTAATAGACAACATGTATTTTAATCCGTTAATTCCAACTCTAACCACATAATATGGAAGAGATGGAGGCTGGTCTCAAGCATTCAGGTATTTTAAAATTCTCTCTCACTCACAAACACACACCTGAATACTGATAAAGAGGCAATGCACGTGCTTCAGGTTCCAAGTAATTTCCAATACGTAACTGGTAAATGAGCTAGTTCAAAGGCAAAGGTATGGACAATGTTAACATTCACATTAGGGGAAAACTGTGTTTATGCAACTTCAAATGAAAGGAAAGATTCATTTGGGAACCAAGAGAAGCCTTCATGCCCTAGAGTCCAGCTACAAACCTCTGCTATGATTTCCTTACCTGTAAGGCTTCAGATTCTCTTGTTTGCTTCCAAACGAATAGTACCAATAATGGTCTTATCTCACACTTACCTCCACTTCCTTTTCTTCAATAATATTTACAAGCCCCAAGAAAATATTCTGCAGTTTGATCAAAAATGGTTCTGGATAAATCGCCCAGTCTTCCCATGCTCTGAAGCATGTCATTACCCGTTGCTAAAAGTAGTAAACAATGCTAGTCATTTGTATTGAGAAGTACTTTAAGAACATTACACAAAGCACAACGCCACCTATCTAATTAGCACTGCACCCGTCACAGAATGTTCATATCGGTTTTGATGTGTTTAGTAAACTTGGGGGACATCCAGCAAAGTCATACTCAAAGCAGACCCACGGAAATCCTTGTTAAGTACTAACTTGAGTCAACTGATTTCAATGGGTCTACTCCAAGTATGACTTAGGTACAGCCAATAAAAACCAATATATTTGGTGCAGACTGCAATGGAGTGTAGACTGCACTATTTATATTTAATTGGGATTTTATTTTCACAGCAAACTATACACAAACTTTGCTTTGGTGAAAAACAAAGTCATTTGTTTCTGACATGAAAGGTTGTATATTTATTGAAGGGCAGGTTCCTAATGCAATTTTCTCCCCAGAGAGGCTTGCACTAATTATTTTTTGGCACCAAGCAGAACAGCTTTTATTTAACACTTATATTTTTACAACACTATTTTGTTTGCTGTTTTATATTATTTACATTATATATTTATAATTTCATTTTTTATGTCAATAAAGGAACAAATGAGGTTGGCTACTAGAGAGGGACTTTCCAGTGTTGGCACCCTCAGAGAGGTCTGTCTTTTAAGGTGCCAGGTGACATTTTCAGTCATAAGTATTATTATTATTATTATTATTATTATTATTATTATTATTACTTTCTATTTGTTGTACTGATGTCATTCTCCGTGGCTGGTTTTACTGTGTGTTAAGATGTTAGTTTCCTATCATATTTTATGCTTTTAATTTTTACTTGTAAATCACCCAGAGGACTTTTGTTGTTAGGTGATATATAAATATTGGAAATAAAAAATAAACTTCTAAGAGAAAGTTCCATGGGATACCACTGAATTGAAACACTTGATAAATTGTATCACCTGTGGCAAGAACTGATATTATTGTTCCACACTACTTGAATTAACTAGCTTACCAATAGCAAGATGTGTGTGTTATGGCCTTGTTAAATTGGTCACGGCAGCTAATCTGCTTTTAGATAAATATCACTATCTGCTAGTGGTGGTTTCGTTCTTCATTTCCCTCTGAATCAGTTCTCTACATTTCCCATCTCTTCTCTCTGTTGCCCTGCCCCCATCATGCATATATATGCTTGCCAATTCACAGCTACACTTCATTCATCTGCTGAAGTGGTCTATGATCCACAAAAGCTTGCATGATAATAAATTGGTTAGTCTTTTAAGTTGCAACGGACGGCTGTTTTCACCCTGAAACTGCTCACTGCATGGAAGTAAACAAATTCAATAAATAATCATACACATACCTTAAAGTTTTCAGACTGTAAATGGCCTTGTATTGTTCGGTATGTAGCATTCAGATCAGAGTATATCTGGCAAAGTTTTGTCTCAAAACTGAAACAACATTTTCATATATTACAGTCTGCATTACTGAGTAAGCCACAGCGAAAGTCATTCAACTTGCATCTAAGCTACAAAAATGTGCGCCCAAATTTCTAATTATACAGAAGAGGCCCTAAGCACACCCATTTAGGAATAGGTCTAAAATTAGCTTCACGAATAAAACCTTTAGAAAGGTTACTACAATTTGTCAAAATTTATTGCTATAAATTTATTGCTATAAACCCAGCCTTTCAAGACACCTAGCACATGTATATACAGTGGAACCTCGGGTTGCAGACGTAATCTGTGACAGAGGCACGTCTGCAACCCGCAGCGTTCGCATCCTGAAGCGCCGCGTCTGCGCAGGCACGATTCAGCACTTCTGTGCATGCGCAAAGCACGATTTAGCGTTTCTGTGCATGTGGTGAAACCCAGAAGTAACCCGTTCCGGTACTTCCCGGTTTCCCACGGTCCGTAACCCAAAAACACGTAACCTGAAGAGTCCGTAACATGAAGTATGACTGTATTCACACATACAGAGAGAGAAATTATCCTAGTTTAACAATGAGTGCATGCTACAGAGGAAAGTTACACAATTTTAAGTTGGCTCCAAATTGATCCAAGTGTAAATATTTTTTTAAAGATTGGTACTCCTACAGATTTGTCAAGGTGCCAGACTGTACTACAAGGTAGCACATGCAAAATTCAAAATCTACAAAGGTTTTTGACTTTTCTTGAAAGTTTAAAATGTTGATACTTACAATTTTCTGTAATATGAAGCATTGGCAACCTTTGCAGAAGAATTGTACAACACATCCGACACCAAATATAATCTTGCAATCTGCAAAAAAAATTTAGAAGTGTTACCAATATTACTGTTCCACAAATAACTTTGAAAATCCAGTTGAAATTGCCATTTTAAGAGAATAGCATACCAGTTTTTAAAAAATAAATAAATAAAGCCTGTTCAAATGTGCACGATATAAACTCCTGCTACAAAATGCCAAACTATCCAAAGTTCAGCACCAAAATACTCAATGTCCAACTTCTGGGGGGGGGGGTTATGAACAGTTGGCACAATCTGCAAAAGGCAAATACCTGTGCAATTTATTTTTAATCAAAGAGGAAAAACACAAAAGGAACATGTGACTATTACAAAGCTTTACAACTAGGGCAGAAGACAATTTTAATTAAGCAAAAAGCATCTTTCATAGTTGGTTATTACTATATACATAGATACTGATTGCTTTGCAGCCAATCAACAATGCACAAATTTACACATAAAACATAAAAACTGTTGAGAAATCAACCATACCTTTTTAGGAAGTGGAGTCTTCAAGATGGATAGTGACTCAGCAATGCAGTCTACAATTTCTTCAGCAGCTTCAGCATTATTAAGACAGAAAACCATTGCATCTCCAATATCATTCTTACGCGGTGTTAACCCACGCAGGATTTCCTCTAACTTGTCCCTCTGTCTAAAATTCCAGTTTCAAATTTTTAGAAAACTTAGCAACACCTTTTCTGTATATTTATAAATGAGCCTTATTGAACATTCTATTTCAGAGTCAAAGTAACTGAGAACAATCTGCAATACATTTTTTTACTGAGACGAGAGAATTTTAGTAGTAGTTTATCATTTTCACCCATACTCAACAGGAGGGGAAACATGGATGTTTAGAAATTAGTTACTTCTAAGAAACTTTGTGTTAGGATGCTTTCAAAAAAGTTGGCCAGCTCTTCCACATACTGGAATTTCTGTGTAGGCTCCTATCTCTACACATTGGAATAGTGCAGATGAGCTATCACTTGTCTATGTGAAAAGATGACATATTAGGTTCTTTAAAGATGCTTACTCCTCCTTAAGTGCACCCTTCTTGCTAGGTTCCTCTACGAATGCTTCAGGCTCTTGTTCTTCTGACATCCCATGGAGATATGGATTTAAAGGAGGTGGCCTCCAAAATGACCCATTTTTAAACATACGGAAGTCTTCAGTCCTCCATTTGGTTGGTGATTCACCCTAAAAAAACCACACACACACAACCATGGTCAAAGCAACCAGTATGCCGATCACAGGTAATATTAGAAGTTGCAGTTAAAAGTATTTTTACCTGTAGAATTGAATAAAGCTTCCACCGGTAGTATACATGGGCTGGAGTCTGGTTCTCAAATAAAAACCTAAATAAAAAGCAGAGGGTGTGAAATCAGAGCATGTCCCTATTGAGATCACTAACATAAGAAAAGCAGCATTTCAACACCAGAAAAAACCTAGTTTCTACCACTATACCACACCCCTACCATTCTTTGATCTATGCAACATTCAGATCATCAAGACCTAGATCTTACAAGCAGCAGATCTGGTAGCATACCAGTATTTGCACTGTACCACTTCAGGCTGCAGGTGAATATTCACATGAAACACTATTCAATAATAAGAGAACGGGAGTGAGAGATTTTGTGATTCTTATATTGGAACTTTATGTTGTGAACTGCCCTGAGATTCTACAGGTATAGGGGCAGTATACAAATTTGATGATGATGATGATGAGAAGAAGAAGAAGAAGACACAAGACTGACATGTCAAGGAAAAGGTTAGGTCAGTTTCCTATTTTCTGTCACTTATTTTTTTTAAAGAAATATAGTCAATTGTGTCTGAAAAGATGCACTACACACAAATACTTGAAACCTCATTTTCTGCTTGTGAGAACTATGCCTACAAAGTAGTAGGGTTTGCATAAATGTCTGTGAATAACTGCACACAGCAGCACTGAAGCAACAATGACAGTACGTGCGACAAAGACATCACTGAACATAAATAGAAAAATAAGCACCTGAACATTGGATTGTTGATTTCTCTGTTCATAATCATGGCTTCAAACATAGGTCCTTCACGCACCACAAACTCTATCATTCGATGTATCAGCGCAAGCAAATTCCTACAACAACAACACAGTTAAAGAAAAATTGATTCAGACCTAACACTAAACAAACTACACTCCACCTAAGGTATTAATAAATGGAGAAGATTATTTTTGCTGCACAGTTAAGAAGATTTATACAAATTAAGAATTTGGAGCAGTGTTCTGAACACCATGATGGGCAAAAATAAAACTAGTATAAAGTAGTAGTAGGTCCTGTGGCTCATTGAATTATATTAGAAAGAGAAATGCAATATTCTTTTCCAGTTTGTTCTTCACTTTTGCCTGAATCAGAACTAATGCAATAAAAACTGTGTTTCTAAATATAATAATGCAATTCTATGCACACGTATCAGGGAGTAGGACCACTGGAACTCAATGGGGCCTCCTTCTGATTCGACATGCATAGAATTGTGCTGCAGGAGAATACTCTGCTCAAAATTAAACTTTTTGTTTGATAAAATCTTTTGCTTAAGCTCAATTAAAATTTAAAATGTTGTGCATACACACACAAATGCTAACCATCAAAATACAACAGAGGCGGAAGGAAACGGTATGGCAGCTTATGCTTCAGTACTGCTGAAAGTTGAGTGCCTAAGAACCTGATCTTAATCAGGTTCCTTGGATGAGAAGCCACCAGGATACAATTTTCATTTTACTTTAAAGGACACTAGGAAGAACACTTTTCTTCAGGCGAGTATTTATTCCATGAAAAGGTAGCTGTCAACTGTGACAACATACCGCTTAGTAATAATAATTATTGAGCCACAAGTTCTAATCACTTCTCTACCATGAACAATAATTTTCAATCATTAGCCATTTCAAATTGCACTCAAGGATTTAAGTCAACATTAAAAAAATGTAAAAATCAACTACTACAATATAGTAAGAAAAGTTTTTAATTTTGGAATATATCCGATTTGCTTACATCCTAAGTTAAGACAGGTCAAGGAAAGAAAGTTTATTGTCCCTTCGTCTGCCTGTAACCACCTGAGCTCCCACAAATGCTTGACTGGAGAGCCAGGGGCCCTCCTCCAAAACGAGAGATGGAGTGGGAAGTTAGCCAAAACAGGAGGTGGGGGAAACCAGCCCAAACTGAGTTGGCCAACTTTGGCCACATCCAAAATTGCTGAGGAGCTCCCCCATCCCAACCCTCCAGAGAGGCTTCTCATGGGGTACAGGTGGCTGCAGTAGAAGAAAGCGGAAAACTTTTCTTCCATCAAACTCCATTCAATTAATTTATCTTCAGATACAAGCCTTTGACCACAATCCAGAGAAGAGCAAAGAGATCCATACACAATGGGGCAGGGTATTGTTTTTTAAAAAAGAAGTATTTTTCTGAACAGCAGTAGTTTGTGCTGCACTATAAACTGCAGTTTAAGCTTTCCGGAGTTTAAAAAGAAATCAATCAAATCCATGAAAAACCCATGGTGCATGCATGCTCATTTGCACATGAAAAGGGCTTCCCTGGGTTGCTCAGTTGTATACCAAGACAGATATCACAATATGTATTAGAATAAAAGCAGTACATTTCCCCCCCAGCAGCCCCAATTTCATCCTACTACAGATGCTATTTGCATTAAATCAAAGCAGTATTGGCTTCCTGCCACATTCAAAAGGTGTTTGTGACTACTAAACGAGATGCATGTCTCAGTATTTTAAAACTACAATTATTCCTAAGTGTCATACTCTGCTTAATGCTTTTCATAGATCTTCAATGTGCATATCATTGCACGTTAGGACTTTGTCCAATCTTAATCACTCACAGTAATGCACATCTGTTTGACAACTTAAAAAGGGAAATCTGTTCCTGCCTTCATGAATATTAGGACTATTCTTACTACAATTAAAACATGCTGTTAACTACTAGAAGCAGTCTAGAAGTCTTATCCTAAAAACTTTCTATGATCAACCAAGAACCGCTGCTCAACACACATTCCAAATAACTTAGTAATCATTTTGCTCACTGCAGTTTTCTGGAAGTCTCAAGTGGAAAAAAATCTGAGTATGTACAAACTGTATTTGAAAATACCAATAGCAGGAAGTCATTTTTGGTTTTGACCTTTAAGAGCCTTTGGGATCACATTACTTACAGTAATTGGGCATATTCAGTAGTGGCACACAAGTTATAAAAAGCTATTAACTGAGGTGCCTAGGCTTCACAATAAGCCCTGATGGTAAGCCACTTCTCCTTTAGCACAAACCTGCCCTTCTTTGCATTCCTTTGATACATTTGAAAGTATTACGTCCCACGTCCCCCCGCATAATGTTGATTCTGCATATCAGTCCCTTATGCTCCAAATGAAGTTTTTTAAAAAATTAAACCAAACCCTTTATCAAGGAATAAGAGGTCTGCAGCATCCAATCTCTGAAAACTTTGCATCACACTCAGGAGCAACAACAGGACAGGATGGCAAAGCTGTTAAAGATGAGCCACAATCTGACCACTTCTTACTGTTCAAAGCTGATGCTCTTGCATTTTGGTCGCTGAACAGCATCACAGATAAAACTAATTTACTAGAAATGTTGCAGTCTCAGTAGATCAAAGCATATGCTGGAAATGTTCATTAACTGTTTCACCAAAATTATGTCAATAGAATTTCTAGTAGGAGGCTCAAAATGCTTCCTATTAATACTTTCAAATACAGTTATAGATGTACATAGGAACAGTTTCTATGGCACAGACTGAAATGCTGCAGTGAGCAAAATAGGAGCTCTGCTTTTTCTAAAAGATATTAATTTAAACGCTAGCCAACAAAAATCTATCTAAATGTTTGCAACCACGTTTTATTGGCCCATCTCAACTATCCCCCATTGCACTACTACTCCTCAACACCAGAAGCTGCAACTCCTCTACGTTAATACTGTGTGTTTTATGTATGGAAAAGATGTCTTCACTGCTCTCTCAAAAACTTACAGCCTTGCTACAAAAGTACTGAGAATGTTCATGACAAAAACAGTGTAGCATGAAAGGATGATAGTTTAAAAATTTCAAACATTAAGTTGGCCAACAAAAAAGTCTTTTCAGTTATAATAAAACCACATTAATTGGAGCCGATCGTACCAGTGTCTGGTCAAAAACTGTATACTTTCCCAATCCATCCCATGATGTTTTCCTGGTCCCCCGCTGCCGCAGACAGTTCAGCTGGTGTTGCTCACCAAGGCCAATGTCAAAGAGAATTTGAATTCTTTGGTGTTCCTTTTTCTTTTCTTTTTTAAAGCAAGTGTTTGTGTTACAATGTTTGAGAATAATTTTGTGCTTGGCTGAGCAAGGGTATGCCTAGCACTTACACTGCACTAATCATGAGTTGTACCCTTGGTGCCAAATCTCTGGGCTATGTGGCTATCTTCCATGTTTAGACACTCCTAACTCGGGGAAACAAAACGTAATTGGGGCAAGTGCAACAAAACAGCCTTTAAGGAAACATTACAGAAAAGAACATATAGTTATCCTAACCTTAGTAACCAAATTCTTCTAATGATCCCAATTTTATATCCTCCATTAAACCTTCTGATAATGTAAGTAGCATTTATATCTTTCTGGTTATCTGTGTAGTTAAACAAGAGTGCCTAACTTGTAGCTCTGCAGATGGTGTTGGACAACTGCCATAATTCCTTACCCTTGCCATGGTGGCTGGGGCTGATGGGGTGTTCGTAATCCAGCAACATCTAAAGGGTCACAGGTTAGCTGTGTAAATGCTTATGGGATACTCTCAGGCTATCTGGATAAGAGAGACTATACTGCTATCCCCCATTAAGCTATCAGTCATTCGGCAAATCTATACACCACTCAGAATTTTACTGAAATACAGCAGTCTTCATTCACATGCTAAAATAATCCCATATTTAATCCGTTTAAATTATCATTCTGAACTGAAATACTAGTTAAAATAAATGAAACCTCAATTTTAATATAGATCCCAACATTCTCACTGCCAACCTGGGTGGTATAACCATTGCTCAGTCAAGCCTAAAACTTTCCTCAACATGACACTTTTTCTGTAAAATTCCAAAAGGGGATATTTGCTATATTTAGATCAGTAATAATAAAGAAAAAAATGTACCTTTCTGTTGGGATAACCACTTTGACTATGGCTTGCGACAGAGTCTGTATATGAAGTCACATCAGATAATAAACATAGAATATGTGAGTATTGTTAACAAGTAACAAGCAAAAAAATACATATGCATTGAAAATACTACACATCTATCACAAGTTTTGCAGGCAATCACTGCTGCGAAGTTATACACTACGGATTTACATAAAGAGCAAATGGCTGTGTGCAGCGAACCACTGAAGGTTCACGAATTTCAAAGCACTAGAACATTCCTGAGAGAATGCACATCAATGCACTGAATAGGTACTATACTGGCAATGGCAGCAATCTAGAGGAGCAGGCAGGATCCATGCACACAGCAGGGCTTTTCTTTTTCCTAACAGCAATTCCCCTCTACTGCATCAGTAGCCATTTCCAAAGGCCTCTTGCGTTTTGGAAACAGTTTCCTAGTACAGAATAGGGGAAAGGCTTTAAAGGAAGTGGAAAAATCAAAACCTTACTATGCCCTGGCAAGTCCACTGCATGCATATGAAGGGGCTTGCTAGATGAAAGACCAATGTAAAAAGAAAAAAAGAAATCTTCTTTCCCTTCCATTTGCTACTTGGGTCCTGCACAAACTATAGCTTATGATTTACTTAAGCATGGTTAAGTAATCAGGCTGTGAGACTATGTGCTCCTTTCCATCCCCTCCTTTCTGAAGACTGACTTCTCCAATCTGCACCATTGGCTTTAACCACAGTTAATCATTACATCTGCAGTAATACTGACTACAGTTAAGGCTAATCAGGACTCTCACTTAACCAGGATGAGAATCCAAGCTTGGACCTTTGATTTCAGATCCTGCTTGGGGGAGCGATCCCTGGGTAGCCTTATTCACAGCCAGCAACACTGCCAACACAACTGTTAGCCATGGTTAAGGCCAACAATGGCCAATTTACACTTCAGAAAGTGATGGGGCACACAACCTTGCAGCCAGCTCTCAATTCAAACAAGAGTGTTACATTTGCACTGACCTCTAGTTCCCAACCCTTCCAACTCTAAAGAACTTTACAACTTATTATATCATTGTGACCTTACACTTGGTTTTAAGATATACTTACCATGTTCTAAAGACTAATATCCTTTTAAATATCCTGCCCTCTTCAGCTACTGAATCAATGTCTGAAATAATTTTCTTCATTTAAAAAAAAAACTAATTGTGAGCTCGTTTTAGTGTTAATTTATCTGCCTGGATTTAAAATTTAGCCTTTTAAAATGAAATAATTTAGATAATGCAAATCTGGCAGCTAACAAAAAGGGGGACATAAGAGGGGGGAAAACCAGGGAGCGTGGAGGGGGAAAAAACCCCAAGACGGCCAGATTTAAAAGTGCAATGAAAAACAAGGCCCAGTTCTGTGGCATAAATATACCAAGGCAATGCCTCTGAAATGAGGCTTCTTAAGCTAAGGCAGGGAACAACTCAGTTTTAGCTAAGACCTGGACAGTACAATTCTATAAAAACAATATTAAAGACTACCATAGATTTAGCATTTATAAAGATGAGGTATGGCCCTGGTTAACTTTTTACCTTCTCAAAATCCTCCTTGTTTTTTGGCGGCGGCAACATTGGAGCATTTGGGTTCTTCAACCTCTCTCTGGGCTGAGCATTAAATGGCAGGCCTGAAGGAGGTGGCGGGAGAGTATGCTCCATCATGGAGGGGGGAATATATATAGGATGTGGAGGAATAGGAACAGCTTTGCCCCAGCCTAGTTTCATTTCAAAAGACATGATCATCTTGCCTGCCAAATGAAAGATTGCATTGGTTTAGAAATAGGCAAGTTGAAAGAAATAGCAGTATTTCAATGAAAACAAGTGGTGTCCACATAAAAGCTCACTTATTGTGTCATGTATCAAAGAATAATGCTGCCTGCTGCTGCCAGAATGTGAATTCTCCCCCCTCCGCTAAGTCCTGCACTCTCAGTTTTATTTAGGAGAAATGTATGCTTCCAATCCTTAAGAAGGACAAGAGTAAGAATCTGGCTGGACATACTGTGTCTAGAGCAACTAAGCATTGCCGACCCTGAAGACCAGCAAGCATAGTAAAACTTTATTACATATAAAGGAGTTGTAGTTCAAGTAGCCGAATACTCACTCGCGCGCCTTCAACTTTACGAACTGCCTACACAATCTTCTACACTGGAAGGCAGCCTTTCAGATCGCAAGTCCTTTTTGATAGTAACACAACTTATTTTTGTGAAGTGCCCAATACTTGCATAGGGTGTACAAAAGTGGGGGGTTTTTCCTCCCCCTTTCCTGGATTCTTTCACTCTGGAATCTTGAAAGAAATTCCAATGCTACCTCCTAGCCTTCGCCTTTTATTAATTTGTGCCCCACGAGGGAATGATTAATGAAAGCAAAGATGTCTCTTTTTTGTCTTAGTTCCGCTTGAGTTGGCTCAGAAGGGTTCTTCTAAAATTTAGAGCACCCCACAATGGGGAAAAAAAACAATGGAGCACAACTGAAAGAGAAAATATACCTCTAGCCCCAGTTAATTTCCACTAAAAGGTGCATTGCTTCTCCCAATGCTTTTCCTCAAATGTCATATTTCAAAAGTTTTTTTGAAACCCTCTCTTTACCGTTTAAGTTCTTTAGCGCACGTTCAGCATCTCTCCTATTCATGAAAGCAACAAATCCACAATTCCTCTCTCTCGCTCTTTCTTCATCAGTTCTTGGCCACATAATTTTGACACTTGCCAGAGGCCCAAAGCGTCCAAATTCTTGACACAGCATCTCTTCATTCATCTATAGCAAATAGGAAGAAACCAGAATGTGATTCAACGATTTCCTTTCAACTGGACACAAGAAGAAAGAAGCTAAGGAACCAGGCATTGTAAAAGTGTTATGAGAAGGCCATGAATAAGCCAGACACAGATTGAAGGCTCACTGTCATAGCACCAAATCATAGTTTGGAACTAGTTTTAAGACATACTAATCTGCTGTATCTTTAACTTGCAATACAGATTTACTTCCTTGCTCACTGACATAGCATGTGGCCACTTATCCTGCAATTAATTCCAAGGTATGGGAATGGTGAAAAATCTGCCAAATATATGCTGGTCCAAAAGCCTAGGCTGTGTGAGGAGAAACAATTGGCCACTCCTCCCCAGACACAGCAGGAAGGTGGAGGGGGAGAATGACTCAATGGGGGAAAGGTTAGCCATAAAGCAGAAAGACTAACAAAAAAGATAAAGGGAAGTGCAAGTGGGCAAGCAAAGCTTTTTTTCTTTTCTGTGGCTTTTATGCCTGGCATGAGAATGTTGGTATCTCATTCCGTCAATCTCTTTTTAAGCAGGAGAGTGCAGAACAAAGTTCTTGTGAAGCATCTTCACTCATGCATGTTGTTAGAGCTTGAACCATACTTTCCACTATATTTAAACATGAGAATATAAGCCATTTTTGGAACAGCTTTCTGCAAAAAGTTACAGTGGTACCTCAAGTTAAGAACTTAATTCGTTCTGGAGGTCCGTTCTTAACCTGAAACTGTTCTTAACCTCAGGTACCACTTTAGCTAATGGGGCCTCCAGCTGCTGCCACGCGATTTCTGTTCTGTTCTTAACCCGAGGTACTATTTCTGGGTTAGCAGAGTCTGTAACCTGAAGCGTCTGTAACCCAAGGTACCACTGTAAACGAATACATGGTGGCGAAGTACAGCAGATAAAGCTGGAACTCAGAGGCCGAAACTCGAATCTCTACTCAGCTACTGATAATTTCATGCAAAGAGATTCTATCAATTCCCTAGCTGTAAAATGAGAATTGACATTTCATGACTGTACAGCAAAAATGGTTTTAATACACCTAAGTGCTATCCTAAATATGTACAATAATATTTGTATACTGCAGACATGGGAATATATATAAAGTTAACACAGGAAGGATTGGTCCAAACGTCAATTACTGCAATCATTACCTGGGGATTAATGTTTCCCAGGTACAAATTTGTCGTACTTGGATCTCCTACATCATGTGAACCTGGAGCATAGTCATCCAATACTAAAAAGAAAAAGAAAACAGGATGTAATCGAAAGTGTAAGTTTTACATTAACAAAAGATTTTAATTCAATAGTTATGAAACTTTATTACCACCCGAAGATCTGTTTCTTCTTGAAGGCGTATCCACTAAGGGAAGCAAAATATGCCTATTAATTCCACAGCTTTTGTAGACTTAAATAACTACAATAAAATTATAATAACTACTTACTGGAACGGCGTTGGCCATCTGAATCCGATTGAGGCGGCTCAAAACGACTTAATCTACCTTTGGTTTTATGTCTTTCATCACGCTCTTCTTGAATTCTACAGAAGATATTTTATGAAAGTGGTAACTGGTTGGAATCCTAATGGCTATAGTTAAATGGGTTTTTTTATTTTAAAAAATTCAACACAGAGAACAGCCTGAAGCATTTTTAAATACTTTAAAATAAATGTCCCACAGGATGACTGTTCAATTATCCTTGTGTCAAGTCGTCATGTTTAGCCCCAAGGTAATTCCACTTCAAACAAGAGCAACTTTCCCCATTTCTCCAAATCTACAATGGGCTGGATCAAGACTAAGTTTATTTAAATCCCACCGCAATCAATGAAATAAGTTATAACTGATTTCAATAGGGACTAAATTCAAGAGTCTGGATCCAACCCAATAAAAACTGCATGCACAATTCAAAATTTCACAGGTGAGACTTTCATCTTATTGATGTATAGCAGCCTTCTTCAACCAGGTGCCCTCCAGAGCTCTGGACTACAACTCCCATGGGCCCAGCCTTGTAGTCTTTAAAACGTAACTTTCGTTTTCATGTAGTAGTTTACAATATACTTCAACATTTCAGTGCAAGTGAATGACAGCAGTTCTGACACAGTCTATTATACTGTAGTTATGCTACTTTTTAACACAAAAAAATGTATTTTAATACTCAATGAAAATGTAACTTAACAGTAAGCCAGTTATATCATCTATTCTGCATTCTATGCATAGCATAGCATGTAAAGAACATCTCCACTGGCATTTTGTTCCTATTTTATTAAAACAAATTAAAATAGCCTACATTTGTAAGAGAAACACATATAAACACCAGAAAACAGAACAATTATGTAGATCCATATTTATTACTTGGCTAAAATAAGAGGAGCCAGGATTTTTCAGAACACTCAGTATGGTTTTTGATCTTCCCTAATTCATATATATATTCTATTGCTTCTATATTTTGTGCAATTTTCCAAATTTCCAAATTCTAAAAAAATCTTTATAGATGGGATTATAGGACTATATTCCTGGGCATTAATATTTTTGCTAATATTAGAAGACACCATCTAAAATTCAAGCAATATACTAACAGGACTTAGGCTATTTATTCATCACCAATCTGTCCTATATTGACATTTTAACAGAAATCAAATTCTGAAAATCTGATTATCTGAACCAACATGAAGGCAAATACTTACTGTTTTAATTCTTCTTTAAAAAGCTCCAAATTGCTCTTTTTCTTTTCTTTCTCCCCCTTCTTCAAAGGCTAATAACACAAGTTGAATAATATTCAGGAACACACAATGACCATTTTATCAACATCTCAAAGCAGTTAATATAACAGCACATTCTTCTAGAAATGTTTCTTAAATAAAATACCACCAGAAATGATGTTATTTTAAATTTTGCACTGTTTATGCTTTCACAACTATAAGTCACTTTGAGATATTTTATGTGGTAAACAATAAATGCAATAAATAATGATAATAATATTGACTTTTTCACTTTTCGTAAATGACACCAAAACATGGTTTGGCACTAAAGGAATTTCCTGTTTGTCTTTTCTGCTTTATTCCATAATTTTCATCTACATCACTTTATACGATTCACTTGAAAAGCATAAATAACTAAAATAGTAATTAATGTATTTTCAAAACAAGATATAGGGAAACAAAAAACCTGCAAAATCTAAACTTACTGGCTTTTTGGTTTCTATTATTAGAAGGGATGGAGGCCTCTCATTAGAAGAAGATGACTGGCTCTGGCTCTGGGTTTTTTGATCTGCAAATCTTGATGAAGGTTTGTAGATTTTTCCTCGTTTCTCATCAGTTTCGTGTTCTTCTGAAAGACAGGCTAATAGTTACTGAAAGATTCTATTTGAACACACTAGCAATGTGCCTTTTAACTTTCTCCCCTTTAAAATAGAGTTTCCCAACCCGCAATATCACAAACTGAGAAATGCACACCTTTCCAAAGGTTTTTTTTTCTTCTGCCAGATTACATGGGAAGCAGGGTGTTGCTGTTCAAAAATCTCAAGTCTAAAGCCCCATTGGGCTCTCAAAATGAGATGCATGCTTTGGGGCGGGGCATAACTATTGTGCTTCATGGTACTTCATCATTAGAAGGAAATATGTCAGAAATATTTCTTAATTTGAAACCCAAACATTTTAAGTAGGAAAAAAAATTAAGTAATCAAAATATTCCTGATAAATAAGTCTATGTAGTATGGTGGCATATCTTACCTTTAGATGCATTAACAATACCTCCTCTGACAAACGTCTTCACTTTATTACCATCACTTCCTTCAAAAGCAGCAAGGAATTCTTCATAAATTTCTGCAGCTGCCTTCTCATCCTCCTACAACCACCAAAATGTTATGCAAATTACTAATTCTGAGAGATTTTCATATTGTTTATTCATTTTTGTACCCATGCTAACCTGAACTACCAACAAAGGTGTAGGATGCAAATTCTCTTGCCACTATACTTTATCCCCACATGAAGAGGAAACTCATAGATATAAGTTAGCATTACTGGCTTGGATCCTAAACTGCTCTTCCTTTAGTTTAAGGAAGGAGATTTCCATTAAGTCCTTCCTCTATTTGCAGCCTCCAACAACATATCCCATACAGTGGTGCCTCGCAAGACGAAATTAATTCGTTCCGCGAATTTTTTCGTCTAGCGAATTTTTCGTCTTGCGAAGCACGGTTTCCCATAGGAATGCATTGAAAATCAATTAATGTGTTCCTATGGTCAAAAAAAGTCCAAACAAAGCCAAATTTGGTACAACAAGAGTTTATTAAGTGCTCTTTAAAGTCACACATACTGTAAAGAGCATTTCAAAATTCAAACCCAGAATTTTTTTAAAAAAACAGCAGAGTTGCCCAATGGTCACAGAAAATCATAAAAATGCAGAAAAAAAACACACAAGCTTCCAGATTCTTGCAAACCCCTCCCCAACACCAAGTCCTTGAATTCCAAACACCCCAACCCAAAATCCAAACCCCCCCAAAAAAGTTTTAAAAGCTTAACTTACCAAATGGCTGCAAAGAAGTTTTGGAAAAGCTTCAAAAATCACCAAAGTCTTTAAAAACCTCAAATCAGGCTACTATGTACACTGCGGTCTATGAGTTGCTCCTCGAAGTCAAGTCGCAACTGTATTAACGGTGTTAAGAAAAAGGAAACAAACTTGCAAGACGTTTTCGTCTTGCGAAGCAAGCCCATAGGGAAATTCGTCTTGCGAAGCAGCTCAAAAAACGGAAAACCCTTTCGTCTAGTGAGTTTTCCGTCTTGCAAGGCATTCGTCTTGCGGGGCACCACTGTACCATGCCCAAGGTATCTCAGCATTCATGAGCAGACTTTGAGAGAAGGGAAAATCTATAGCAAAATAGAGATAATATACCGTATTTTTCGCCCTATAGGGCGCACCGGCCCATAGGGCGCACCTAGTTTTGGGGGGGGGAAATAAAGAAAAAAAATTATTTCCCCCTCCAGGCGCAGGGCTGGGGCAGGGGAAGCCTGAGCTTCCCCCGACCCCAGCCCCCAGAACAGGCTGCTATCCGCAAGCCTTCCCCCACCAGCCCTGACAAGGTTTCGGGCTGCAGGCTGCTGTCCGCAAGCCTTGGGAGCCCGGCGGGAAGTCGCACCAGGCTCCCAAGGCTTGCGGATAGCTTCCTGAAGCCCGGAGAGAGAGAGGTGTCGGTGCGCACCGACCCTCTCGCTCTCCAGGCTTCAGCGAAAGCCTGCATTCGCCCCATAGGATGCACACACATTTCCCCTTCATTTTTGGAGTGCATCCTATAGGGCGAAAAATATGGTAATACTGGCCAGATTGGATAGCTTCAAAGTTGTAATTAACTTTTTTCAGGTGGCAGTCGTTAGAAATTGTCATTTAACCATGCTTTCATTTTTTCCATTTAAATGTAAGAAGTCTGCACTATTGAGATGCTTTGTCTTAAAAGTATTCCAATAAAAATAATTGTCATTAAATGAGCTTACTTTTTTTCTCCACTATTTAAGTATTTTTGCTTCTACTCCCTTTGGCCACTGGAAACACTTTTGATTCATCCAGGACACAATAGTAAACATAACTAAAAAGGGACACCTTGTTACTAAGTCAAACATGTTAAGTCAGATCCAAATTGGTGATGACACTGGAAAACTTTCTCTAAAACCTACATCACCGACTACAAATAAAACTATGCGTATGAAGGATACAATCTTCCTTTTCAAAGGGAAGACTCCAATGTCAAGATAGAATTTGGGATTATTTAGAAACATAACGGCTGAGACTACAAAACCAAAGAACTGAGACAAAGAACTGAGACTACAAAACTAGGACATGGTATAGCCTACTGCTGTGCCTGTCCCTGATGGCAGACATACTGGGGTGTTCAGCCCCAATTAGCTAATTTGCTTCTCTTGAACTTTCTTTATAACTCAGTTAGAAAAAGGGACCCCCCCCCAGGTTCATTATAACCAGGATTAAAAACAATAAACACCACACACAATAGCCAAACTGGGTTGAGAAGAAATTTGCATGCAAGATGCAAAGAGTGATCCTGTAGCCCAACCTATTCTTGGTTAGAACTTGCATCTTACTGGGCTAAACTTTTCTGTCTGAAATCTGTCCATTGGTTTAGAGAAACAGCTACATGCACAATTTAGATTTGGCAGCAAATGTTAACAAGATACAATTTTAAGAGGACAACAGGAAAAACAACACTAAACTAAGTCAGTATTATCCAAATAAAAGCTTCTGGTTTTATCAGCAATAATCTGTGAGTAACAGCAATAAGCAGAACATATCCATCTGATTAAATAATAATAAAATAGTTCCGAAGTATTACCTTCTTTTTCAATTCTTCCTGTTCTTTCTTGCTTAAAGTTCTCTTGGCAGCACTCATCTTGCCAATACTAAATGCTTTAAGTTTGCTTTCTAAAAGTGGCTGCAAGAGAAAAAAATATTAATTTGGTCATAAGACTGGGATTTTAGATGAATTCATTTACCCAGTAACACCTGAAGTGCTCTGGGAGGAAACTGAATTTCTAGATCCATTTCAATCAGTTTAGGTTCTGTTTTGGCACGGAAACAGTTTTGTTTGCCCTGTACGATGACCTCTGTCGGGAGAGAGACAGGGGAAATGTGTCCCCATCTGGACAGGGATAGCCTAACTTCTGTCATCTGTGCTCTGGTAGCCTGTGGGTTAGATTACTGCAACACATTATACGTGGGGCTGCCTCTGAAGACAGTTCAGAAACTTCGGCAGCCGGGGCAAGAGTTTTGAGCATATAATGTCAATCCTGGCCTGACTGCATTCATTGACAATTCAAAGTGCTGTGATGGCTCCCCACTTGTGGAATGCTCTCCCCAGGGAGGCTCACTTGGCACCTTTGTTATGTATCTTTAGGCAGCAGGCAAAAACATTTCTGTTCTCCAAGGTCTTTGACAGAGTAAGAAGTCCTCCTCACAGTTGGAAGGATCTTATAGGTGGGGAACCTGGACTTAGGGGACACACACCTCTGGCACCAGGAAGACAGAGAGCTTGTGCCTGTGACACTGCCCCAAAACTCCACATTTTCCTGGGAAGGGGTGGATATGAAAAGACTGAAGTTATTTGCACCACTGGAAATCAGCAACCAAGCTAGGCAACTGTGAGATGCTGAAGACTAGGATTCTTACAGGTAGAGAAACCTGTTAGTCAAAGGCACAAGACAGATATCAGGAAAATATAGAGAGAACAGAAAGACGAATATGTTTGGGTAGGGAAGGGCTGGGGGTTTCCAGGCCAAGTGACGTTTGAGAAGAGGGAAGAGACAAGGGAACAAGACATGGTGATCTAGGAGGCAGAACAGTAGAAAAATCATAGGCTATAGAAGGGATGGGGAAAGGGTTCAAAGATTAGGTGAATTTAAGTTTATATTAAGAGATCAGATCTAGGGTGGCATACAAATTTAATTAACAACAACAACAAAGTACTTTGTGCTTTTGAGAAGATCCGTATCTCAAAGCAGGATCTATATCAATGAGCCTGGTCTTTAAAATACATTTTACAGAACACTTCTTGAAATGCTCAACCACATTAAAACTCATTCACACAGTATACAATGATATTAAAGAAACTGCAGGCCATTGTACTATATCCAACATGTAGTACAACTGGCAAAAAGCCCACTTTGGGAAGGTAATGAACCAAAGTAACAATAAACATTTTTAAAGAGACAACAGCTCATACATATCAATTGGTGGGGACAACAGGAACAGTTTTGTTAAGATTTTTGCTCATCCACCTTGAGACTTACATGATTCTCCGGAGATCCAGTTACACGTGTTGTGTCTGGCACCCTGGCCTAAAAATGAAGGATATACAAGAATTACATTCTACAGGCATTTAATTGGTTGTCAACACATTTTACACCCATAAATAATCAATTTTCTTTTGAACTACCTTCACCATCAACTCAAAACTCAGGTTTGACCATTCTGAAAAGAATTGTGAAAAACACAGTCATCTCTCTACTCCAGGGATTTTAAAATGAGCTCAAGTTCTATAAGTAAAGGACAATATACTTTTAAAAGAAGGGGCAATATTCTTCAAAATAATCTGGCTTATTTTTAATTGCACAAAGTGGTCACCATCTAGGATCTTTGATGTAACACTTTCCTTCATTTTGTAAGGCTTTTCAGCAATAATCCTGAAGTTGTCTACTCCAGGTAGTCCAATGTGACTATCTTCATTTCCAGCTGCTGATCCAGAAATTCCTTTATCTACCTCATACGTAATCCACTTGCTATAAAGGACACAACATTTTAGTAAAATTTTATATTCTTCCTATTTTCATTGACCAAAATCCAATCTGCTATTCAGACCCTGGAAAGAAACCACATAATTTCATTGCAGAATTTAATTGGTAACTTTATGCTTTGTTTGTTTCTTTTTGACCTTCATGAATAATTTAGCTTTTGAATACTGATTTGAAAGGAGTCGATTAAATTATGCAATGAAATTATGTGGTTTCTCTCAAATTAGTATTCAAAAGCTAAATTCATTCACAAAGGTCAAAAAGCAACGAAATAAAGCAATAAAGTTATGATCCAAACACCTGCCTAGGTTCAATTTTAGTCTATTCGTTTTGATCAGCTGAACTCTATAGTGTTTATTAAGGTACCTGCTATTTGAGACAGAACGAGTTTTATGGTTCATTGGATCCTTGCCTCAAATTCTCTAAACAAGTCTATTCTGCCATGTTATGAAGAAAACCATTTGTGAACCTCAGTCTAACTTCCTTATTCAATAAATATGTAAACACTGGAAATAAAGTAATAACTGAAACTGAATCACAACTTGGTAATTTATTTTCTAATACAAAAAACTATCCAACTTTATTGAAAGCCAAGCACTGGTAGAAAATTGATTTTATTAGTATCTAGAAAAGAAGCAGGTTTCAGAGACAATGCATCATTATTACTATTGTTCCGTTCCCATACAATTAAAATGGCAATCAGTAACAATTTCTCATTGATTTTAACAGGCTAAATTTCACTGATTTTACTACAGCCTAAATTTTGTTGTTTGTGGGACTTAATAATAGCTGCATACAATGCAAGTGGAAGCCTTTCCCTCTTAAAATAAAGGCAAGAATATTGCATTTCCTTTACTGTACAAGTAATATTTGGATAGATAGAATTTTAGGGGGAGGGGAGCTTGCCAGTGTTTTCTACAGAACTACTCCAGTTGAAGACCGTATTCCAGGCAATGGCTGAGATTCCAAAAGAAGAAGAAGAAGAGTTTGGATTTGATATCCCGCCTTTCACTCCCTTTAAGGAGTCTCAAAGCGGCTAACATTCTCCTTTCTCTTCCTCCCCCACAACAAACACTCTGTGAGGTGAGGGGGCTGAGAGACTTCAAAGAAGTGTGACTGGCCCAAGGTCACCCAGCAGCTGCATGTGGAGGAGTGGAGACTCGAACCCGGTTCCCCAGATTACGAGACTACCGCTCTTACGGTAGCTGCTCAAACACACACAAGGGGCTTGCATTAGATAAGTGAAATTCATTATCCTCTCCCCTCTTGAAATAGCTGAGTCCTATCCTGTACCACACAGTACTTTTGAAACTGTTCAGTTTCAAAGGCAGTTTGCCAGATGATGTGGCAGGGTAGGTTACAGGGTGGGGAGAAAAGAGAGTTAACCAAAAAACTTGGGTTTCAGCTTCACAGTTATTGAATTGGGGTGAATAAGCTTTACTTTACTCAATTCTGCACTGTGCAGTCTGCTTAAATCACCGCTGCTCTATATTTCTTCAAACTGTCCCAATATTTTAGGAAAACTTGCTTTCCCATAGAAAGTACATCAACTAAAATCACTTGAAAGAAGGTGGATGCTGTGCAACATTTGGTCAGTTTAGACATAATAATCCCTGCTTCATAAATGATTGTTTTATGAAGTCACTGGAGATTCTCACCACCACTACCAAATTGTAGCGTGGGGGTAGCCAACTTGGTGCCCTTCAGATGTTGGAAGTACAGTTTCCCTCTGCCCCAGTCATTATGACCAACAGTCAAGGTTGATTAGAATTGTAGCCCAGCAGCACCTAATGAACCAAGTCCTTTTTTTGTATATTAAAATTTTAACCTGCAAATGTAATAAGAGCTTGGAGCAGAGCTGGCAACACTCCTCTCAGAAGGCCATTCCACTTGCTCATTAAACATTAAAAAACTAGTGCCTGAATTTGCTTTGCTTTCTGTTCCTTTTCTTTTTTTGTATCATGTCTGTTAAACTGTAAGAGTGTAGGTATGGACAATTTGTTTCTTAAATATTTGTACAGCATCTAGAAAAAATATACCAGTAGGTGCTTTATAATTTTTTTTAAAAAAAGTAGAGCCACAACACCACATTTTCCCAGTACTGCTGATTATTTTATTACTTGATTTAGAACAAGGATAGCCAATGTGGTCGCCTCAAGTTAATACATTGTTGGACTACAATTTCTGTCAACCCCACTACTGGCCAAGCTGGCTGAGGCTGATGGGAGCTCAACATCTAGAGAAGTCTACTGGCTACCATTATTTAGATCTCCAATCTCTTGATCTCCAATAATGCATACATAATCCTCAAAAATACAAGCAAAACAAAAATACCTACATGAATATATGAATAAGAATATATGTCAAACAATTCATGTATAAAAAGACTAAGGAAACAACTAGCTGAAGACACATTATTCAATGTGGTTGTGTACTTTTGATGTTTAATTTATTGTTTATGACTACTTTTAGTTTTGTTATGTTTGTAATTATGTGATTTTTTAATATATAAGTTGCAGACTGCCTTGAGCATGGTTTTAACTTTGGAAAGGCAGTACACAAATAAAATGATTAATTGGTCCCAAGTTAAAAGATGCATACGCTATAACCTCTGTACCCTCCTTTATAATAAACATAATTTAATTCCAGAAACCCAGTTAAGGTGGCAGCAGAAAATCGAGGGAAGTATTTTCAATCTCCACCTAAAAACAAGAAACTTTTTGGGAACAAAATCAGTCAACAAGATTCTGAAACATAACTCATGTAAGGAGGAAGAAACTGCTCTAGAACAGCTTTAACGTGTCAAATAAGGAAGGGCCATTTCACTCAAATCTATATCCCTATTTTTCCCCTATGTAACAAAAGGCCTTGTACATTATAACATACTTTGTGGTGTGTAAATGCAGTGAAAAGCCAGTCATGAGAATTGTGCAGCCTTGTTAGCAATGATCTACAGTTTAATCATTTCTGCCATTTTTAAGTATTGCATCTCCTTCGTGACAATGCAGGACAGTACAAACAGCCAAAATAAACTGCTACACTGTTATATCTTCAATGGCCCAGCTTCGCAAATATGTGCCAATATTACCTAAGTAAAATGATCGCCAGGATGCATAAACTGAATGTTTATGCGGCTCGGAGGCGGAGGGGATGCTCACAAGCCTAGATCATACACACCAGACCTCTCTCTCCAAGCACACGAGGCCTTAAAAATGGGGAGGGGAGGTTAAAAGTCCACACCGAGATAAACTCCCAATAATAATCAATGCAGAATGGAATCGTGACCCATATACACCCCACGTTTTTGCAGCCTTTCCCGAAGAAACCCCGAAGAGACGGTGCATCGGAGGAGCGGGAGAACGAAAAAACTGAAGCAGCTCTTTCCCGGAGAGAAGGGAGAATTTAAAAAAAAAATGTGTAAGGAAACGGAGGCGACGCAGCCGCTCCGCTTCCTCCCCGCTATAATTCCCCCCTATCCGTCGCCCTCGCACCGCCACCGGCTGAGCTGGGAGGCGGGAGAGAGACTAGGCCGCGAAGCCAACCGAGCTCGCTTCCTCGCCCGCCTGCGCACCACGTCCCGCAGCGGCGGCACGCGCGTCTCCAGGCCGGCTCCCCGCGCCCACCCTCGGCGCCCACCCACCGGCACTTGCCCGCCTGCCCCCCTCGGACCAGGCGGAGCCGCCGACTCGGCCCCAAGAGCGGCCTCACCTTCGCACTGGCCTTCTGCGAACCGCCTGGCGTCTTGTCCGCCATCTTGATTCTGTTCCCCCGCTCGAGCCTCAGCGGCGGGAAATCAAGCACCGACTCCACGGATTGGGAGAGAGAGGGATTCTAGGCGGAAGGAACGGCGGCGAGGAGGAAGGGCAAGGCACGGCGAGCCGATAGCCGAGCGCGAGATTTCGGAAGGCAAAAAAAAAAAAAAAAGGGTTGAGCAAAGGAGGAAGCCTAGCTCCGCCTCGCCCGCAGGGCATAAGGCGAGAGAGAGGGGGCGCGTTGGCGCGCATGCGCAGTGAAAGGGCTTGCTTCGAATGCGATGCAGATTTCTTAAATCCTATTGACGTCTTGTCAGCTTGGTATGTGCTGCAAACGCTAATCCGGACACTCAAGCAAGTCGCCCAAAGCCCGCCAACCCATGAGCCCAATTGCTGCTAATTAAGTAATGCATAATGAATATATATATTCATTATACACATATATACACACATATTCATATGTACACACATATATATGTGTGTGTGTGTGTATTTATTATGCAGGGATATATTCATTTTATCTCTCTCGCGCTCTCTCTCTCTCTCTCTCTCACACACACACACACACACACATATATATATATATATATATATATATACACACACAGTATATAGAATCCTGGCCATAAGTAAATTATATGCATTTCCTATAGCGCTGAGGAGCTCCAGTCGTAATGTGTATAATAAATAGCGTTACGGGACAGAGCTTTCGGGCGGATTTTATTTCAGGGATAATGTGAGTCAGAGAAGTGCTGTTGAAATCCTAAACTGGCGCCTTGGAGACAGTTCTGGGATGAGGGCAAACAGATTAATTCTGAGAAAACCGGAGGTCCTGTAGGTTTCAAGATGCCCAGCTGTAGAAGGAGGCTTGCAGCTTGTCCTGGATGGGGCGGCACTCGCCTTGAAGACCACGTGTGCCGTTTGGAGGGCCTCTTGAACTCATCGCTGGCTGGGAAATACCACGTGGCTTTGGTAGCCAGGAGTGCGTTTTCCCAGCTTTCGGCTGGTATGCGAATTGCAGCGCTGTTTGGAAAGATTCGACTAGACTACTGCAATACACACTGCAGATATACTTGAAGATGGTTTGAAAACTTGAGGTGGTCCAGAGTCCTGTTGGGGGGAAGCTTCAGTGCATTTATAGGCGCAATTTAAAGTGCTGTTTTTAATGTTTAAAGCTCTAAATGTTTTGGACTGAAGCTGGCTTCACCTACGCTATCCTGCCTGCGTAATGAAGTTGGGTGGACTGTGACTATTTCCTTTTTGTTTTGTTGGTCTTTTTTATCTTTGAGAAGACTAGGTGGTTTTATCTGTTACTTGTGTGCTTCATGTACTACATTGTTGTTAGCCACTTTAAATGGGCACTACCTGGAAAAGCAGATCCTGAAGCTGAGGCTCCAATACTTTGGCCACCTCATTAGAAGAGAAGACTCCCTGGAAAAGACCCTGATGTTGGGAAAGATTGAGGGCACAAGGAGAAGGGATAACAGAGGACGAGATGGTTGGACAGTGTTCTCAAGGCTACCAGCATGAGTTTGACCAAACTGCGGGAGGCAGTGGAAGACAGGGGTGCCTGGCGTGCTCTGGTCCATGGGGTCACGAAGAGTTGGACACGACTAAACGACTAAACAACAACAACCTGGAAAAGCAACCCAGAAATATTAAAGGGGAGGGGGAAAGAAGCTAACAACCACCACATCTTGTGGCAGAAAATTCCATACATTAATTATTACAAGCCACTTGGGATGTCAGCTATGTCAAAAGGCCCAGGAAGTTGTACGTTGTCCAGGGTTGTGTATGAAGACTTGGTACAATCATGTATTAGTTCATAGAATTGTAGGGTTGGACGGGACCCAAAGAGTCATTCGAGTCCAATCCCCTGCAATGCAGGAGGTTGGACTAGATTCAGGAAGAGAAAACAAACAAGTTACAATCAATAGACTACTGCAGATCCTCCAAGTGTCCCTATTTTCCAGGGATATCCCTGATTTAGAGAAGCCGACCCGTTTTCTGATTTGATCCTGGAATGTCCCGCTTTTCTTTAGGACGTCCCTATTTTCATTGGAGAAATGTTGGAGGGTATGGAATTATCCAACCCTCAAGCCATCTGAAGGCAATCGTGTAGTGTATAGGCAAGGTTTTTTTTTTAATGTTTAATGTTTTATTATGTTTTTACATATGTTGGGAAAAGCAGGTGGCACTGTGGTCTAAACCACTGAACCTCTTGGGCTTGCCATTCAGAAGGTCGACGGTTCGAATCCCCACGACAGGGTGAGCTCCCATTGCTCAGTCCCAGCTCCTGCCAACCTAGCAGTTCGAAAGCACGCCAATAAGTACAAGTAGATAAATAGGTACCACTCAAGCGGGAAGGTAAACAGCATTTCTGTGCACTGCTCTGGTTTTGGTGTTCCGTTGCACCAGAAGTGGCTTAGTCATTCTGGCCACATGACCCGGAAAAAGTGTTTGTGGACAAACACCGGCTCCCTCGGTCTGTAAAGCAAGATGAGCACCACAACCCCAGAGTCCTCTGCAACTGGACTTAACTGTCAGGGGTCCTTTTGACATATGTTGGAAGCTACTCAGAGTGGCTGGGACAACCCAGTAAGATGGGTGGAGTATAAATAATAAAATTATCATTATAGAATGGGATGTCCCTATTTTCATCGGAGAAATGTTGGAGGGTATGCTACTGTAATGTGCTCTACATGCCTTTAAAGGCTGTTCAAAAACTTCACCTACCATAAAGCACGGCTGCTCAGCTGCTTGAGGAGTAAAGAGTATATAATACCTAGTCTGTACCAACACACTTGCGTGAACTTGCCCATACGGCTCTTCCATCTGGCATACTCTTAAGAGCAATCACACAGATCGTACTTACATTAAGTCCAATCAGTTCAGTGGGCCCAAATGAAAAAGGTGCAAAGAGCATTTTCACTGGTGGCCCCATCTTTGTAGAACTTTCTTCCTCCACCAAAGTACATTTGACCACCACTTTAGCCATTTCAGAATGGGCTTTAAAAAGCTTTTTGTTCTCATTCATTTTTTATTAATGTGGGGATGGATTTTTAATCCACCACTGCTTATGATTGTGTATTATGTATTCTGTGTATTGCTGATCTGAGTTTACGTTGTTCTATGCTGCTGTTTTAGTTTTCATATTTTTATGTCAGCTTTATTTTTTTTTGTATTGAGTGTAATGTTATTTCTGTGAGCTGAATTGGGAGGGCTTTCCAGCCTGGAAAGGTGGGATAAAAATACAATCAAGTGCTGAAACCTGCAAAAAAACCAAAACCCAGCAACAACAACAAATAGGCAATATATGGAAGAAGAAAAAAGCCCACATCATATTTGGTTCAGAGTGGTGATGCAGCTGTCATATCAAAGGAATGGAAGAAATCTCCAGAAGCCTAAAAGTCTTGAGCTTCTGCAACAACTGTGTATATAGATGTAGGTACATCATATAAAGATAAGTCAGCTGCCAGGGCCAGGCCTCACATTTTTAGTGGCATGGTCTAGTAAAAGATTGTGCTCACCCACACCACATTTTCGCATGAACACTTTTTAAGTCTTTGTGGGGTTCCTCACCACTAGGGGGTGCAGTCAACACATTTTTCTAAAGGAAAAGATGAACAATACAGAAATCTATTCATAGATGCTAACAATGTGTCATATACACCTCAAGGCAGCATATACAGTGGTACCTCGGGTTACAGACGCTTCAGGTTACAGACTCCGCTAATCCAGAAATAGTACCTTGGGTTAAGAACTTTGCTTCACGATGAGAACAGAAATCGCGTGGCAGCAGCGGGAGGCCCCATTAGCTAAAGTGGTACCTCAGGTTAAGAACAGCTTCAGGTTAGGAACGGACCTCCAGAACGAATTAAGTTCTTAACCCGAGGTACCACTGTACTCTGAAACACTGGCTTACTCTTACACTGATTTGTTCGTTTATCACATGCTTTTGTCTGCCTAAGATGATTCACAGGCTGACCTTTTTTTAGCGGAAGGAAGGCAGTTCCTCATCCAGAGGGTGATCAGCGCTGACAAACAGTATAGCTGGGGTAGGGTAGGGTGGTAGTGTTGTTCCGACTGCCTTAAAGCAGAAGGTGGTACGTCTGCTCCTGAAAATACCCCTCCTGCACCCAGAGGGGTTTCACAAATACCACCCAGCCTTTAATACCCCCTTCTGTGGTAAGATGCTTTGAGTAATATCAGTTTAGCTGCAGACACATTTGGAGGAAACGGATTACTTGTTTCAGTCTGGTTTCAGGCTAGGAGTGCCAACTAGAATAAAATATTGGGGGGTGGGTTAGGGGCAGGTTAGCACCTCTCTGAATAATTGATTACATGACATGGTGCGCGCACACCTTTTGAATGGCAATGCCCATTAACTTTGTGGGGGTTACCCCCTCAAATATTTTATGGGGGAGCTGTAGGATTTGGCTCCTGTGATTCAGGCCTGGGTTTGGCATGGAATTGGCCCTGATCGCCTTGACGGAGATCCTTTGATGGAGCAGCCAGGGGAGTGCAAGCCTGCTGCTGCTGCCGCTGCTGCTGCTGCTGCTGCTGCTGCTGCTGGATCCTTCAACAGCTTTAGATACCATTGAGCATAATATCCTCTTGGACCATCTCTATGGGTTTGGAGTTGGAGGCATGGTTTTATGGTGGTTCCGCTTCTACTTCATGATGGTAGCAGAGAGAAGCACTGGAGAACTACCTGTTTACATCTTGGCAGCACAGCTGTGGGGTGCTCAAAGCACTATTTTGTCCCCAGTCCTATTTAAGATCTATATGAAGCCCTTGGGAACAATTCATGAGGAGGTTCAGGGCACAGTGTCCTTAGCATGCTAATGATACTCAGCTCTACTTGTCTATTAAATCGGAGTCAGGAGAGAATAAACTGAACCAATGCCTGGATGCAGTGGAGTGAATAATGGTCAACAAACTGAAGCTCAATCTTACTGAAACAGTTTGAAAGCATACCATTGCAAGTAGACAAATAGG